GTAGGAGAAGTGCCACTTCTTGCTTGTTTGTTTGTTGAAAGATAGGAAAGTAGATGCAGTTTCACAGATGGTCATGAGATAGACAGTTTTGCTTCGAAAAACAAAACCTTACCTAAGTATTAATTCAGCTGTGTCTTTTTTTTCTTTTCTTTCTATTCCCATTCTTTCTGTTTCCTTCCTTCCAGCTCATCACCTAATCTCAGCTCTGTAAAATAGGTTTCATGATTTGACTGTAGGCAACTTTAGGGAACTAGGTTATAGGATGCAAATTTGCATTATGTCACATTGCAACATTAAGGCCTGCCTTCAAATGCATGTTCAAAAGACCGTGGAAACAACTACTTCTGAGATTCCAGGTTAACCATATCTAAGATGTTTGGAAGACAATGATCATTTCAGAAACACCCATGGGTTGCTCTCTATATTTCCTTATAACACTTTTTCTCTTCTTATGTATCTGATTATTCAGATGCTTGATTTTTTTTTTGCAAAGAAAGAACTAAAAGAGTTAAGAATGAAATGGGAAGAAATTGAATCAGTTTAATTTTTATATATGTACATATATAATAATACATGTACTATATGTAATTAGTTAATATATGTATGTACACATATGTGGGTAGATAGGTGGTAGGGTGTATGTGTGTGCATATGTGCACGTGTGCATTTGAATATAGCTTATAAAAATAAGTTTTTGAAGATAAAAGTTTTAGTCTGCAGTGAAAAGCTGAATGAGTATTTAAATGTCTTGTGCTGTTTCTGAAGAGACCTACTGCAATGGGGTTTATGCTAAATTAATGCAATTAAAATTAAAAAGAAGATTTTCAATCTGAATAGAAAACAGAATGCTTTATTGAAATTGACTCTGAGAATGCAATAGGTATGTACTTTAAAATCTGGTTTTATGAGCATGTTTCAGTGAAGTGCTGTTAGACAACAAAGGAATTTTGTTTCCTAACATGGTTGAACAGCACTGATTAGAATTGCAAACTCTGCAATACATTTAACAAGGTTCATTTTCGAGCTAAAACAGTAGAGTTAATTTTTTTTAGACACACGTATGCCACTTGTCCTATGAATAATATCTACAAATAGAATTCTAAGTATTTGAGGCATATTATTGTCCAAAGAAAAGTTGCTGACTTCATCACAACTACAGGCTAGTAAAAAATGAAACCTGAAATAGTAAACTGTTACAGAGCTGAGAGAGAAACAGGTAACCTTCTGACCTCTGACTTTTACTGGAAAATGATATGCAACATAAATTCAAGGGGCCTTTTTTCTTTCAAGTATTTATGTGTGTATATTATAGCATCACTATTCACAACACTACAATTAAGATAATGTCAGTGCTTTCCAAATAAAGCCATATTTTCATGAGTATAACTATATTGATCATTTCCAAGAAGGCATGAAGGGAATAGTAAAAAAAAATCATGGGCTAAAATTTTCTACCTAAGATGGCTCAATAGTGGGTTTATATTTTGAGTAACCCCCAAATTATATATTGCTCTGAGACCTCAAGTAGCCCTAAAATCATTTAAATTTTTAAACATTGGCAGGTTTCTTGCCCCTTCTTGTAATTTTTTTTGAGTGGAAGGAGTGTAAAATAACTTGTGTTGATGCTTCTTCCTTATGATGTATAAGAAGGAATCAGAAATTTTCCAAGTTAATTTGGCCAAGATATATTCTCCATTTGATTAAGAAAATTTTATCGTAATCAAGAGCCAGCATTTTTTCCAGTTAAATAGATGTACATTTAAACATACAGTTCTTTCGTTTATTTTTCCCTTTAGTGCTTCTTTAGCCTCCCAAGTATTTATACATATGTTATCTCATTTGATGACCTTATATAAAATCAAAATGGCAGGCTGTAGTACCCACTTGGCAGAGGCATGCACTCAGTCAGAGAGATGTTAAACCATGGTCCTCCTATTCCCCTTTTCATCAATAAGACCTGTGGATTTGTACCTTCTTGAAGTCTCAGGATTGGCTTTGTGCAATAGTTCTTCCATGTTTTCTCTCCTGCCTTTTCTGTCAAGCACAAATGGGTAAGTTGTGCCAAGATTTGGCCTGTAGTGCATGTCCTAACTAGTTATTTACACAGTTTGAGTTCATTTTTTGTCAACTAGGTAAATAACAGCCCTCTTCAAAAGATTTATAAATCCATAAAAATGTCTTATACATACCCAATAGACAGGAATAATTCAATATGTCAAGTGTATATCGAAAGAGGTGTTCCCCCCCTCCCCAAGACATGAGTAATATGTATTTGAAAGTTTTCTTGGCTGTATTATTTGTACTCCCCAATCCTTTTCAATTTAACTTCTTCGCTTTGACACCTGCTATACCGAAAGGAAATCCCTTAGGCTTTGGCCTTCCCTGCTACTCCCCCCTCTCCCCAGCACAGACCCTTATCTACTATATGACTGAGTCATTTAACAGGGTATATGTCACTGAACACTGTACCTCTTGACTTAAGTGGCAATACATTTTGATAGATCCATTTTAATGAAAATGGATTCTTTTGATGAAAAGAAAGAAAAAAAACCAAACCTTTATGAAAAGCAAAAGTTCCAAGACACCAATTCACAGCCTCTATTCATAGTACAGTAATAATTAAATAATAATGATAACTCACTTATATAGCACTGTGTTATTACAAAGCTCTTTTCATCTCATTTGTAGCTTGCAAAAACATCATGAGTGTAAGTCTTAGTATCCCTATTTTGTAGAAGAAGAAAATGAATTAGAGAAGTTAAATGATCTGGCAGTTGGTGCTCAATTAGTGGCAAGACTGGGTCTCAAACTCAAATCTTCTTGACCCCAAGTATAGTGTGCTTTCCAACCTGCTGCTTTATCAGTGCCCAAGTTATATTTACATTATAACTGTTTTGTTACATGAAATAGGACTGTCTTTCAAAATATATTTATACAGGAGAATTTTTTAAAATACTAAATTACATTTAAGCATGCATTTATACCGTAATTGTCCTCAATTTTATTGGTAAAAAGAAATCCCTCAAATGGCTAAAATTGTCTGCAAATTTTTCCATGAAATAAATATATAACAATCTTCTCTAAAATTCCCATGAGACAATGTATATAAAATGCTTTGTCAGCCATAAACTAATAATAGATGTAAAACTTAGAAGTACATAAATGTAACCTAAAAACAACAAAAACAACAATACTTAAAGTAGTGAAAAAAATATCATGATGCCTCTTAGTAATTAGCTATAAGCCACTCTGCATATCATTATTTATTTAATGTGAGACTTGTGACTAATTACCAAAGACTTTTGCTTCTTATATAAGACAACCTCATTCTAATACTGGTGTTGGGAAATCTGGGTAGTGAGTTGATTGCATTACATCAATTTTATTGCATGCGATCTCATGCTATTGCAATGTTGCATGTGCTTAATTTTGTTAATTTTTCAAGTGTTTTAAATTGTGTTCTTTTAAATCTGTTGGTGTTCATGCTATGTGGATGGAAATTTCCTTGGAGATTTGGCAGAGCAATTGGTGTTGGATTAAGTTATTATTATTTTTTCATTTTAAGAAATTGTTTCAGTGTGTTTTGAGGCATACATGTTCTGTGACTGAGGGAGGTGGAGACAAGGCAAATAATGTTGACCTTAGTGATCACCATATGTTGTATGGACAAAGCACTTGGACACAAGCACTGTCTTCTTGGTAGTCTTCTTTGATTGGCGGGAATTTTTTAATTGTCCAATAAGTTAAAGCATAGGGTGTTGAATGTTAGGCAGAGTCCAGACTGTACAAAGAACTGTGAGAAGAACAATCTGCCTTTGAGGTCAACAATGAAGGAACAGGCAGGGATGTGTGAGGGAGATATCCAACCCACTTTTTGCCCTTACAGGTGGCCCAGAAGCAACTTACTTGGTCAATTGTGAGGCCAATGGGAAAACCTTGTAGTTTAGCAAATTGGCTGTGACTCCTTTCTCCAGCTTGTGCAGCCAGTATGTGTACTAGTCAGAGAATTTTTGTGTACTTTCATTTCTCATACCCTTTGTATTACCCGTGGATTGATTCTTTTCATTGTAAATCAATCCTTGTAAAAGGCACATAGATTCCAATGCATTGAAGGGGTAGGGGCAAGGAGTTGCACTGATATTAGAAATGAGAGGGTAAATATTAGAGCTGAAAACCTACGGATGTTGGCTGCCATCTTGGAGTGCAGGTCAGGGCACTAGTCTTCACACTGGTCAAGGCTTAAGCCTGTGGTGGGATCATAGGATCAGAAATGAGATTTCAAGCTGAAAGGGACCTTAGAGATCTAGTACAACCCCCTCATTTTTTCTGTGAAGAAACTGAGGCCCAGAGAGGGTAAATGAACTTTCATGGTCACACAGCCAGTAAGTAGAAGAAAGAGGATTTAGAACCAAATCTCTAACTCTTAGCTCACTATTCTTTCCATGATACTTCACTAACATAATCCTTGCTCTGCTGAGTTTTAGGCCTTGTTTGCATACATTGTCCCTATGAGGCAGCTCTCATTAGTGATACCCAGAGAGATTAAGGTACTTGCTACCTGTCACATAGAGTGACTTACCTGCTGAGTCCAGAATTAGACCCAGGTATCAACATCCAATTAAATGCTCTTTTCATTATTTTACTCAATTTTATGTAATTTATGTCTAAATTAAATAGAACTTTAATAACCTTTTAAGCAGTATCTAACAATACCTATATTGATATATTGCTTAACAGATTATGTAGCCCCTTCGCTATAATAATCCTGTAAGGTGGGTAATACAAATATTATGCTTATTTTTCAGATGAGGAAACTGAGGCTTATGTAGTTTAATTGACTTGTAGTTTTTAGAAGTAGAAAGAACTTTAGATGAAGAATCTGAAGCCCAGACCATTTAAGTGAATTGTCCAAGGTCACAAAGTTAAGCAGTAACAAGGAAAGCTTAGATTCATATCCAATTCTTGTGATTCTGAATCCAAGCTTCTCCTACTCTAGCATA